CCTGAAAATGTTTTATGATTTTATTTTCATTCATTAAAATTTCAGGAATATCTTCTTCAATATTTGGTTTCTTTTTTATTGCCTTTAGAATATTCCAGTATTCTTTTGGATTATTTTTTAATTATCTGAAAGTGATTTATAAAGTTTTTGGTGATATTCAAATTTTTTCTGTTTAATCATTTTTTTTTAGTTTTTTACATAATTCAAAATATTTAGGTTTTAAACTTTTGTCATTTAAGCTTGATTTTGTTTCCTATATAGTTTATTTGTCTTCTTGTTTCATATACTGTATTATCTGACCATACTTGTTCAATTTTTTTCTTTTTAGTTGGTTTAGATATGCCTTTACATGTATTTTCTGCAATAGTTTGTAAAATTTTTGTAAGTTTTTCAGCTGCACCATCAACGCCTAGTTTATTGCTATCAAAATGTTGCATCTCTAAATCTAAAATTTCCTTTTTAACATTTTCGAATGATAGAACATCAATTAATTTTGAAAATGACAATTCTGTCCATTTGTATGATTTAATCAAATGCCAATTTTCATCCATGCAATTACTTTGTACACAAAAAAGTGTGTACTATGAAACCATGTGAAGGGAAATTAAGGCAACTTGATCTCTTTTGTCGTGAATTGGTTGATTGATTTATTATTGGTTGCTTAATGCCAAGTGGCGAATATTTCATGCATGTTCAGGACGATGTCATGAATTGAAAAACTGTGATAATGTCTGAAGTTAAACCATTGTGGTGACGCCAGCCTATTCATTTACCGTGGATTCTTTTTCTTTACACCCCAGTTCTATTGTTATACTTCATAGTTTCTATTTCTGAAACAAGTGTAAATTGAATAGATCTATTGTTACGAATAACAAAGGATTTTGACCACAGGGTGTGACGAGCGGGGTTTCTGGAAACCCCTGCTTCTACATCCCGCAAACAAAGTCCATTGTTATTCGTAACAATAGAAATTTATTATTTTTTAAATAGCATGAACATAAGAAATTACTAATAGTGTTCACTACAAATTGTTTCAAGATATTAAAAAAAACATTTTAGGAAATCCCAATAGCGAAAAAAAATTAAGCATCTATTTTGAATACAAAAATAATCCTTTAAATACTCCTTTGCTTGAAGGTATTTTTTTTTATCCCAGTCATATGTCTCTATTCTAAAGCATTGGTCTTTAAAAAATGGGGATTCTAACTCCCGGGACCCCCCCCCCCTACGGTTACCCATTGGCCGATCTGGGGGTGGGGGTTCCGCGGTTTGGACCCGACTTTTATTTAAAAGATCAATGCATTTGAATGGTTGGACCCCCCTTTTTTTCTCTTGAGTTGGGAACCCCCAGCTGGATCAGCCCCTGTTTGCCCCCAAAAAGGGAGTTCCTAAATATTAAATCTGTATCTTTGTATGTTGAGCGTGTCTGGTAGTCTGGTCACACCTATCCCTTAGTATGTTCGAATATGAATGTTTATTTATTCTCGAGAAGAGGGGGGGGGGAGGGGGGTATAAATCCGTAAGGTATAAAATACAGTTATGATTACCTTTATTACACTGATACAGGTAAGTACTTTGGGTTATAGTATTGCCTTTATCTTAAGTCTCTTCTACCAAATCCAACGCTTGCCACAAAATGTCGTCCGTCTTATACCCGTCCATATTGACAACTGCATACAAGGAGCATGATGTATTTTTGTTTGTAATAAGAATACACGAAAAGGTCAACCTTGACCCGCTGATCCATTTTAGTACATGGATTTAACGGGAATATGCAAAACAACTTTGACATTTGTAAAATATAATCACTTGTCAAAGTTTGAACAAAGATACCCTAAGAAAGGTTACTAGTGGGGTTTCATGTAATAAAAAAAAAAATTCTTATAAATCATGGTTTGATATTGTCAATAAATATGCTATCGGTTTTTTTTTCATTTAATAATCAATGTTAAAAAATATAGGGTATAGAATGGGGTGTAAGTTAGTTATACACCTCGGGATACGGCGTGTCTGGATAAGAAACCCCTCCGGCCTCCGGCCGACGGGGTTTCTTATCCAGACACACCTATCCCTCGGTGTATAACTATTACAGAATCAACGCTTCCTAAATCTGCCGCTGAAATTGACTCACCAAATTATATTCAATTGTTTCCTTTGTGTGCCTAATTTGATTAAATTTGAATTGGCCAATTTACTAATTTCTGTTCACTAATGGAATAAATTTAAAAACTTACCTGTAATTTTTGGAATGTTTATAAGCTTTCACTGGGACGACGAAACCTCTCGGCTACCAAATGGGTTACACTATAGATGTCTATTTTATATATTTAAATGAACATCTGATATACATCGGTTCATCGGACACACAGGGCTTGTACCTTTATGTAGACACAATAGGCAGTCGTATAGTATGAGTTGGTAGCCGCGAGGTTAGCATGGTTAAAATCAAGGAGTTAAAGATAGGGATTTGTCGGTTTAGGTTCGAATCCCTGAATTCTCTCTGTTGTTCCAATTCTTAAGTTATTCTGTTTTTTTTTTCTAATTTTGCATGTTCTAGTGGATGTTTTTGTAATAATAGCGAGTTTTACCGCGTTTTTGTCGAGCCTTCGACTTTTGTCGAAAAAGCGAGACATAGCGATCCCACATTCCGTCGGCGTCGGCGTCGTCATCGTCGTCGTCGTTGTCGTCGGCGGCGTCCACAAATATTCACTCTGTGGTTAAAGTTTTTGAAATTTTGATAACTTTCTTAAACTATCCTGGATTTCTACCAAACTTGGACAGAAGCTTGTTTATGATCATAAGATAATATTCAAAAGTAAATTTTGTTAAAAAAAATTCCATTTTTTCCGTATTTTACTTATAAATGGACTTAGTTTTTCTGCCAGGAAACATTACATTCACTCTGTGGTTAAAGTTTTTGAAATTTTAATAACTTTCTTAAACTATCCTGGATTTCTACCAAACTTGGAAAGAAGCTTGTTTATGATCATAAGATAGTATCCAGAAGTAAATTTTGTAAAAAAAAATCCATTTTTTCCGTATTTTACTTATAAATGGACTTAGTTTTTCTGCCAGTTAACATTACATTCACTCTGTGGTTAAAGTTTTTAAAATTTTAACAACTTTCTTAAACTATCCTGGATTTGTACCAAACTTGGACAGAAGCTTGTTTATGATTAAAAGCTAGTATCTAGAAGGAAATTTTGTTCCATTTTTTCCGTATTTTACTTATAAATGGACTTAGTTTTTCTTCCAGTTAACATTACATACAGTCTGCAGTTTAAGTTTTTAAAACATTTATTAGATTCATAAACTATCCTGGATTTTTACCAAACTTGGACAGAAGCTACTTACAATCAAAAGATAGTATAGAGAGGAATATTTTTATTAATTTTTTTCCTCATTTTTTGTTGAGCCTGTGATTAACAACAAAAAGTAGGCGAGACACTGGGTTCCGCGGAACCCTTACGATTTTTTTTTATTATTATTGGCTATTTCACATGTTTGAAAAAAAATGATTACATTCTATTTGTCAATTTTTGTTTTATAAATATAGTATGATTTCATCTGTTTTACTACATAATTTTACAAAGGTTTGTTCGCAAATTCCTATGCGAAAAAATCGTGATGTGCCTAGAGTGCTAGAAAAATTTCGATAACATACTTATTATATATACTTTATATATGCTTTTTGGTCGGGTTGTTGTCTCTTTGACACGTTCCCCATTTCCATTTTCAATTTTATTAGAAATAATTTCGAATATGTCTTATTTTGTATAAACAGATAATATTCATATGCCTGGCAATATAAAGATCTTTAAAAGTAGAAGTGTTATATTTGTATTTTGTTAACCAATTAATTGTGATCTGAGATTTATCAATGCATCGTTGGACACGATAACATGGTTATTTAAACTCACTTACAATACCTTCTAATTAAGAAAAGGCTTTAATTTTGAAAAGAAATTAACACAATAGTATAAGTTATAGATACAATGGATAAGCGTAGATTCATGAAAAACAAACCATTCGCCCTCCGATCTCATGGTTTCTTTTTCAAGAATCCACGCTTATCCATTGTATCTATATAATAGAATGTGCCACCTATATATATATGTTCTGATAAATATGATAAATATATATACATGTTCTGATAAATCTTTTAGTTTTTGCTTTGAAATAAAAAAAAAACAAAACAACCCTAGTATCTTTGATCTATTGGTAGTTGCTTTTTAATGACTATCCGCTAGACTATCTATGGGGACATACCAGGGGGCGGATCCAGCCAATTTTAAAAGGGGGTTCCAACCTAGGATAAAGGGGGGGGGGTTCCAACCATATGTCCCCATTCAAAAGTATTGATCGTCCAAAAAAAAGGATTTTCCAGACATGTAAAGCTTCCACTGCAATTTAATCATTGCTTGCCTTTGATCAATTTATTTTGTCATCTTACCATGTAAAGAAGTACATGTATAGTAAAACACCGCTTTATATCAATAAACATACTTACACCAGCAGCTACCATCTTGTCATTCTGGAGTCAAGACCTTTAGAAACCACAAGTTTTACAATGATACTAGTGGGTAGATTTACAAAACTTCGTTAATGAGCTCCGTTTTACAAACACCTGTGATACAAGTAGTCAGCCAAAATAAACTATCATTAGATCAATTAAAAGATTACTCGAGTAGTAAATATGTGCTAAATTGGACAGTCTATGAAAAGGTATATACTATGAAATTAAGAGCTCGGGGCAAGCCCCTCGCTCTAAATTTCATAGTGTATACCTTTTCTTAGACTAACCTTGACTTGAGTTATTTTTATCCTATTGAGAAATCTGTTACACTGATCCGTGTCTACTAACCTGTTATATTACTTTGAGTTCTTTTTATCCTACTGAGACATTTGTTACACTGGTCCGTGTCTACTAACCTGTTATATTACTTTGAGTTCTTTTTATCCTACTGAGACATTTGTTACACTGGTCCGTGTTTACTAACCTGTTATATTAGTTTGAGTTCGTGTTATCTTCTTGAGGCATCTGTTACACTGGTCCGTGATATAATTTGTGTCCGACGATGTAAGTTTGAAGTCCCTTCCACAGGAAGATGTGAATTGAGAGTTGCATTCGTAGCATCTGATACCTACATAAAATTAACTGTATATGTATATGATCAAAATTAGACAAGAATAATATGCGGGTAAATATTCTACTCTTTACACATGGCTTAATGAGTGGGTAGCAATTGTATGGCCCTTGTGTGAAATACATTCACGGTAAATTTCCCATTCTCCTTTGGAAATCGAGAAGTGCTATTCTGAAGTGATACATTCATCTGGACCGCCAAAGCTCAAAATTAAAAATCAATAAATATATACATACATTCACATCATGATTGTGAAAAGTGTAGGAAATATACATTTATGTTCAGTTTAAAAAGCTTTAAACATCTCAAAGACCTATCCTAAGAATTAATTTTGATTTAAACATGATATGTCATGAAACATTTCTGTGTCAGTGATATGAAATGCTACAATTTTTGCTTTATCACATGTTTTTTTTATATATGGTCATGACTGAAGGTTGAATTTGTGAAAAATTCTGTGAACTTCAGCGTATATTGTGAACTGTATATTGTTTGTCTAGTCGGCTGTTTTCTTTTAGTCATGGCGCTGTTTGTCTGTTCGGCTGTGTTCTTTTGGCTATGGGATTGTTTGTCTGGTCGGCTGTTTTCTTTTGGCCGTTGCGCTGTTTGTCTGGTTGATGGTTTTCTTTTGGCCATGCTGTTGTTTGTCTTGTCTGCTGTTTCTTTTGGTCATGGCATTATTTGTCTGGTTGATTGTTTTCCTTTTGGCCGTGGTGTTGTTTGTCTGGTCGGCTGTGTTCTTTTGGCCATGGCATTGTTTGTCTGGTTGGCTATATTTTTTTACCATCATGACGTTGTTTGTCTTGCTGCCATCACAAGTTGGTTATCTATTATGGAATATCTTTCACATATAACCGATCGATATGTTCCAATTGTCGTAATCACAGTACAATCCTGCATGTCCTCGTAATTTCCCTCGAATATGAACTACCGAATTAGGCTTATCACCGGATGTGTACTTATCTGAGCAACACGACGGGTGTCGGAGAAGGTTCCATTTACCCTTACAGAGAACCTAAGATCACCCCGGTTTTTGTTGGGGCTAATCTTGTTCATTACTTAGATTTCTAGGTTGTGTCTTGTATACTGTTGTTTGTCTTTTGGTCGTTTTTCGTTTTTTGTCATGGCATTGTCGAATCATTTTCGACTTATGAGTTTGATTATCACTTTTGGTATCTTTCGCCTCTCCTTTTTTTTTCATTTGTCCTTGACGGGTCGGAGATTAAACCGTACGAATATTTGACGACAGGGACAAGAACATAGTACACGTGCTTTCGAGTGATATGATAAAGCCGTATGTTGTGTGTATGCAATAATATGAAATTATATGTACGAATATTTGACGACAGGGGCAAGAACATAGTACGTACACGTGCTTTCGAGTGAATTATGATAAAGCCGTATGTTGTGTGTATGCAATAAAATGAAATTATATGCCTGATATTCCAAATTACATCCGTATTGTATAACATAATTAAGTTGATCCAGAACGGATATACATTTATATATATACAAGTCTAAATTGAAAACAATAATATATATATAACTTCAACTTACTTTGAACTCCAACAACAGTTGTTAAGAATAAAAACCAGTAAATACATAAAACAGAAAGAATATCCATTCTTAATTTCTCATATATATGCAACATGCAAATTAGATAGAAGATGTTTTCCAATCTTTTAACATGAAACAAAGGAAACGGATATGTGAACTTACGACGTGTGTATAGATCTTCTATTGTTTGTATTTCCGTATTAACAGGAGGTTTATAATAGTATATCTAATATCTTAAGTACAGGATCAAATCTTTTTGTTATTGTTTTAAGTGGAAAATAAACATTGTCAGTCAAAATAACTTACATGTCGAGTGACAAAAACTTGATTTCATGCATGTTCAGGTCGAGAACAAATTAACAATACATACAATAATTAAGTAGGTCTTTTATTAAGGGTTCTCCGTGAAGAAGGTCGGGAAATTTAGACTGTTACCGGGAAACGAGGGTGTTTTGGGTAGGGCCATAAATTTTGTCTTGTAACAGGTCACCTACGGACCCCCCCCCCCCCCCCCAAAAAAAAAAAAGTTGTTGCAACTGTTCTTAACTTGCAGAGAGCGTGGCCCTATCTCTACACAAGGCATCTGATTTAACGTCCACATTCTTATTGGACATTCAAACTCAAATAAATTAAGTGCATCATAAAACATTTTACTATTCGATAAAGTTAAGACATGTCCTGTTTTTCGGTGCAAAACATACTGGACACGCATTTTGTGTCCGGAAATTCATGGACACGTTTTACCTCAGTTCCGAGGTCTTATTATTAAAATCCTTGACCAGAGCATATGCTATCATGTGCTATAAATTTGATTCAAATATAAAAAGTAGTAAAATTTGACAGATATTTCCATGGCACAGTTTTATATAAAATTGTTATTTACGCATGGAAAATGACATTTACAAAATGGAGCATAAAAAGAAAGATAATATACCGATCACAGTGCAATCCAAAATTATAAGTCCATTAAAAAAAGACAACACTACAGGCCTCAGCACTACAGGCCTCAGCACTACAGACCTCAGCACTACAGGCCTCAGCACTACAGACCTCAGCACTACAGGCCTCAGCACTACAGACCTCAGCACTACAGGCCTCAGCACTATCGCCAAAAAGAAAGACGACGAAAAGACAAACAATAATAAAAACAAAACACTACACAGACATCTTAAGTATGAGCAACAAAACAAAACACTACACAGACATCTTAAGTATGAGCAACAAAACAAAACACTACACAGACATCTTAAGTATGAGCAACAAAACAAAACACTACACAGAAATCTTAAGTATGAGCAACAAAACAAAACACTACACAGACATCTTAAGTATGAGCAACAAAACAAAACACTACACAGACATCTAAAGTTTGAGCAACAAAACAAAACACTACACAGACATCTAAAGTTTGAGCAACAAAACAAAACACAACACAGACATCTAAAGTTTGAGCAACAAAACAAAACACTACACAGACATCTAAAGTTTGAACAACAAAACAAAACACTACACAGACATCTAAAGTTTGAGCAACAAAACAAAACACTACACAGACATCTAAAGTTTGAGCAACAAAACAAAACACAACACAGAAATCTAAAGTTTGAGCAACAAAACAAAACACTACACAGACATCTAAAGTTTGAGCAACAAAAAAAAAAAGTAAAAACCGCGTTCGCTGATGTCCCAATCGAGCAAACGAGTACCGGATTGTGGTTTCGACCAGCAAAACATTTACATGGTCACATGTGACGCAGATATTTAGAATGGTCAACCAAAATATGGTGGCGTCCAATCTGATTAAAATTCAGATGTATCGTAACTCGCTTACTCGTCATGTGAGGATAACGAAATCAGAGATCTGTATTTTAATACAGATTGGGAGCTGTCTTTATTGGAAGATATGTCTTTGTTCGGTAGGCAAACTACAACAATCAACCAAGCATTTAATAGCAGATTTATTCCTGTATTACAATGAATCTCAGTTTATGACCAAACACAGTAAAGACACGTCATTGGTACATTTGGTTGACACATTCAACAATACCTACCGTTATCTTGATGATATTTTTTCGTTAAATAATCCAGAGTTTACTAAATATACTACCGAAATTTACCCAATGGAACTTACTTTAAATAAATCTAACATAAACAGCAGTAGTTGTCCTTTTCTAGATTTAAACATTTCAATTTCTAAAGGGAAACTCCATACTAAAATTTACGACAGAAGAGACAATTTTTCATTCCCTATTGTTAATTTTCCCTTTTTTAGACGGCGATGATCCTTTGGCTCCATCATACGGTGTTTATATATCCCAACTCGTTCGTTATGCCCGTGTCTGTAGTGATGTCATAGATTTTAACGAACGTAATTAATCCATCACTGGTAAATTATTAAGTCGGGGATTTCGTTACCATAAATTACTTTAAACTTTTACTAAATTCTTTCATAGATACAAAGATTTGATTAGTGAATTTGGCTGTATCTGTAGAAAACTTATTTAAAACGGTATTTCACATCCTAAATTTTACGGTAATATTGTACTAAAAGCGCGGAAATCACTATGTGATCCGTGTAAACTTATCGGACCTTTAAACAAACTTAGTAGTAAAGGTTATCTTATTAATGTTGTAATAAGATCTTTGAATATTGTTTACATCGGCACAAATATCGATTTTATCATCAACAAATTAAAACATAACTAAATTTGTATTCTTTTCGAATGGTTTTTGGGGATTTATAAATACACATCCACGTTCATTTTCTATATAGAGATTGCTTTATCTATATATAACATTATACATATTTATTATAAGGTTAAATCCTAACTATCCTACCACTGCCTGTCGATACTTTTATTTTGGCATTGCACAAGTCATGTTTTCTTTGACAGTCCATGGCGTTAAAACACTAAATCCCTGGGATGTGTTTTTAGGTGATTTTAGTCTCTGATGCATGATTTTTATTATTAATTTGATTTTGGCTTTTACCTAGCTTGCAGTAACTGCGAGTACTCTCAAATTGTACTTTCGTGTTAATTTGATCTGTTGACACAATTTGTAATGCATTTTTTATTATTCAATGTTTACTTATTTTGTGTTATATCTCGTCTCACTATTTTTAATATGTACCACCTTTGATAAGTATTTAGTATGACGATAAATTTTCCCTTCTGTTCTCGTACCATGAACAACAAATTTATCTATTTTGTAAAAAATATTTCCGTACTCTTAACAACAAAATTATTATATTTAAATTTACCTGTGTACGTTATTTTATTTAACGCCATTTTGTCCAAGGTTATAGTTGTCTTTTTGAAATTGTTTTACATCTCCCCTTTTTTATCTAATATTGTATTTATATTGTGTCATAGATCAAATTTATTCGTTTAGTGTATGTTTACTTGTTTTTGTTAATATGTCTTTTTGATTGAGTAAAGCCATTTCAATTGATATTTTATAGTGTGTCTTTCTATGTTGTAATGTTATACCACTATTTCAGGTTAGGGTGAAGGTTGGCGCCTGTTAAAACGTTTAAACCCGCTGCATTTGTTTGCACCTGTCCTAAGTCAGGAATCTGTTGTGTCGTTTGTTTATGTGGTTCATAAGTGTTTCTCAGTTCTCGTTTTTTATATAGATTAGACCGTTGGTTTTCCTGTTTGAATTGGTTTACACTAGTCATGCTGGGTTGAAGATCGTATTTTGACCTATAATTGTTTACTTTTTACACATTGTGACTTGGATGGAGAGTTGTCTCATTGGCACTCATACCACATCTTCTTATTTCTATGTAAATCAAATCAAATCAAACCCAGGAACATGCATATTAGTACATTGTGTGTTAATTTACGTTTTTTGATTGAGTTAAGCCTTCCAATTGATATTTTATAGTGTGTCTTTCTATGTTGTGATGTTATACTATTGTTTCAGAAAAGGGAGAAGGTTTGGTACCATTAAAACGTTTAATCCCGCTGCAAATGTTTGCACCTGTCCTAAGTCAGGAATCTGATGTACAGTGGTTGTCGTCTGTTTATGAAGTTCATACGCGTTTCTCGTTTCTCGTTTTTATATAGATTAGACCGTTGGTTTTTTCCGTTTGAATGGTTTTACACTAGTCATTTTGGGGCCCTTTATAGCTTGCTGTTCGGTGTGAGCCAATGCTCCGTGTTGAAGGCCGTACCTTGACCTATAATGGTTTACTTTTATAAATTGTTACTTGGATGGAGAGTTGTCTCATTGGCACTCATACCACATCTTCCTATATCTATATAATTGTAGTACATTATGTGACAAAACGAAAAGAAATAAAGTTAAAGTTACCATTATCATAAATCTACTTTATTGAAAAACTACAACATTTTACGCCATAGTTAGCAAATGGAAATGCAAACAAACATAGATAAACAAATGGAAGAAAATATACGAATCCATCATCATGCATTTATGTAACGTACTAAATAACATTTTGATTTCGTGGATATGTGTTATACAATTGTTGTAAAATCTTGACTGAGTTAATTATAGATTTTTTTAATTTAATAGTCAAATTCAATTAGGATTTAATAACTTTTGTATCTGGACCCAGTGAGTAAAATAAATTCACTCACATTGTGACAAAAGGTTTGGAAAGCAATAATTATATAATATTCAAGAGCAATAGCATAAAAGTGACTACCAATCACTGGAAATGATTGGATAAACTCTCATACAATCTTATAAAACTACAAAAAGCACCATTCAATTCTTATGATTACATTTTAGTCCTACAAGAGTGCACACGCTGAAATGTCTCGGCTTTTATACTGTTCATTGATTTTATGTTGATAGTACTAAATATAAAGTTTTAATACAAGTATCACATTAAGGATCCAAGAAAATGAGGTCAAGGTCAGATAAACCAAGCCGGAAATACATGTACACCTTTGATACAATCATTCCATACACCGGATATAGATGACCTATTACTTATGGTATAAAAGAAACAGACCAAACCATGGAAATTTTATATTGACCAATGAACCATGAAAATGAGGTCAGGGTTAGATGAACCATGCCAGACAGACATGTACACCTTAAAATCATTCCATGCATCAAATATAGTTGACCTATTGCTTATAGTATCTAAGAACCAAAGTTAACCAGGAAAACTGAA